GCAAACAAGAAAATCATCTATATAATCAATCATCATCAGTCATCATCAGTGTGGAACCTCGGGGGTCTTCTCTGGGAGATATTAATAATAAAAAAAGGTTTTTCTTCCACATCTTTTCAGTTCAGGTCCACAACTGAACGTTTTTTGAGTCAGATTTTGCACCACCACTATGTGGAACCAGCAAAAAAGTATTTTCTACTTAAGGTCCTTCAAAGAGCGTTTCAATCCGTAAAAGGCCGGCAACGCACTCGCCCTCTGGCATTGAGACTGTCCATGGGCGGCGGTATCACTCCTAGTGAGCCTACGCGTTTGCATGTTCTGTAAAAAAAAAATTCAGCTAAAAAAATACTATTAAAACACGTATACCAGGTCCAAATTGATGTTTTTCGCTATTTTTTTCGATTATTCAGTCAAAACAAACGAGCCTTAGACAAAGAGAATCAATATGGTTGAATAACCCAAATGTTTTGCAATAACCAGTTATATCTGGGGCGTGGCTGCTGTAGATTGTAGGTTTAATAACATGAGGTTACCAATGCTTTAAGGTGTCTATACCCGTTGCGCCATGACCGCAACCAACTTCGATAATTGGTAAAATCCAGGGTATAGCCTTGGTAACAGAAAACTTCATGTTAGCGAGTGGACGGGTATTGCGACTACGGAAGAGTTAGAGAAGTAGCAGGACACGCTACACGGGACTGACTGCCAACCTTCAGTGATGGAGAGGCATCAGAAGGTGTCTACAAGTCTCAAAGTATCTTAGGGTCGAACCTTAGCGCTAAGTCAAGTACATGTTACGTAGTGGCATAACTATAGGGTGGCAGGGCTGGCAAAATGGCAAAGGCCCCCGAACCCAAAAGGGCCTCTGCCCAAGAGATAATATTATATTCTATGGATGAATGTGAAGTCTCCAATACGCATTGGGCTAGCGTGGGGTCTACAGACCATTCCCTCTCGCCTAAAAGAGGAGGCCTATGGCCATTAGTGGGACTTATACGTGTAATTGAGTACGCTGAAAATCTCGAAGTTAATTAAAATTAAAAATTAAAAAAATTAAAAAAATTAAACTGAGTTTTACTGATAGGGCCCCAGAAGGTATAGTTACGCCACTGATGTTACGTAAGGACAAGACACGGTAAGAGAAGAAAGAGACGGACAAAGAAGATAACCATTAGCCTAGGGGTGGAAAGAGAAGAAAGGGAAAGCAGGTGAGGCCTTGACATAAGAAGAGAAGGCTACAGAATAGCGGCTTTTTTATTTATTTACTAGCAAACCCGTCGAACTTCATATCATAATCTCATTTGTCCCTTTATAGAAAGAAAGTTCATTGGTGCACAGCCGAGGATCGAACCTACGAGTTCAGGGATGATAGTCGCACGCTGAAACCACTAGGCTACTTGTCGAAACCTTTAAATACGTTCTCTGAGGGAAGGGTTTACCGTATCGACGGGATGAATATTAAATGTTTGACAGTTGAGCCCATGAAACTTTTGGTTTGGATACGTAATTTTTTCAATGTTTTTATAATATAATAAATTCTAGTTATGATTATTTGGGTGAAACATTATACAATTTGATAATTAATATATTTTAAATAAATTAATGTTTCAATGATATAAGAATTGACATTGATTCATAATGTATGTATTTATTTATTATGTAAAATTCTACCTTTTAAGACAAACTTTGCACGCTTATGGCAGAATACGCAAAGTTTAGATTTAACCACCATGATATTTTTGTACCATATTCTTGCAAATGAATTATTATTATGTTTGGTAACTGTTTGCTAGTAGCTGTTACTGTGTAGCTCAACATCGATTCATGATCTATCTTATTATAGACTTATACGCCTAAGCCAAGTAAACACAGTATTTAAGATAGTAAATCTTGTAGGAATTTGCGCGTTATTCTTACCGTAATACGTATTCCTTCAAAGGAAATAATTGGATTTTGGGACGTCTAACAAATTGATATATTCGTTAACTGTTTTGGAATTCCGGTGGACAATTTTTTTATTTTTATTTTAAGATCTGTATGTGTGGGTGTGGCGACATCTATTAGATGTACTGTTTAATTTACTTCTATAAGTGTTATAGCTGGTCTAATATAGTGTATTGATTTTTGGAGTAAAAATTATGACAATCTTTATTAATTAATTTACAAATCGCTTCAATAGAACTCGACTTATAAGTGTTTGAACACCGACTTTGTTTTATATATTAAAGAATTTAATAGCGTCTGTAAGTAGTGTTATTAGACACTTTCTTAAGTGAAATATCCTTTAATAAATCACGTCCCAGGGCGATATGGTAGTAGTTGACAATTCAAAATTCCTTTACGTCCCTTGGTAGAATGCTAACGCGACCCCGAGTCTCCCAACTGTGACGTTCCCTACAGACACGAGCAAATGATTTAGTATCTGTTTTTTTTATAGATTTAAACCCACGTAGCTTAAAAACACAGCAACGTACGACCTTAATTCATTAAGACAATTTTGTCATATTGATCCCAACTTGGATTCCTATAACTAAGTAATACGAGTAAATCATATACTTAAATGTTCGCCAGCCCCCTAGCTAACAGTTTTCGACTGTTTTCTTCAACTCTATTTGACTAGACCCTTTTCAGGGTATACTCTGATATACCCTGAATACTTATTTCCTCGTGGAGTCATAATATGTACGAATCACACAGTGCCTAAACGCAACACTCGCTCGTAGGAAACATCGTAACACCGGCATAAGACCTAATCAGACATAGGCCGCCTATTAAAAATCACGAAATTCAATACCAAGGCTACAAGCGCCATCTTTTGGTAAGTTTATAAATCAAGCTTTAAGGTCATCAAATTTAAAACGTGTTTAAAATGCGCTTTGTTCGGCTAATTAAAAATAATCGCGGACATAAGAATCTGTTTAGTTTTCTGTAAGTTTAAATATATTGTATATATTAGTAACTTATATAATATATGTTTATCGAATAAGTATCGCAATACAGCGAGGAAATGCCAGCATTAAAGGTCTACCACAGGGACCAAACTTTTTAAATCGTATTATTTTGTATTTATCAATATCAATTTTTAATTTTTATTATTACTATGTAGGTCAAGAATAATGTAGTTGTAGTGTTTTATTGTGCATCAATTCTTTGATTATACACATATATATATATACATTAGACCGTGTATACCCAATCATACTTCATATATTTTACATACAACCCAAGATATTGATTCGCCTATTGGACCAGGGACTTTTAAATGATAATATATATATCTATATCTAAATACTTCATTGAAGTCTTAGACTTCGATTAGTGGGAGGAACTCGTTTAATAATTCCCTTTGATTTCCGGTTCGGACTATGACTGCTATTAGTTTGTGTTAACATTTCCGTATTAAAACATTTGTTTTAAATACTAGTAAAGTGTTGCAAGCTTAAACGAACCTGGGGTTCAGCTTCGATCCCCAGCTGTGCACCAATGAAAACTCGCTCGGAAATATCAAAAGGCATGCCCAAAAACATCACCTTGCCTTAGAAATGATCACGTACCACAGGCGGTTGTTCCAATTCTGTAGCTGAGCTTCATCAGACGTCGAGGCATATTAACACCAGTATCACCTCAACGTCCCTTCCACAAGCGATTTTTAACGCAGTTTTTGGGCACCACCACTATGTGGAAAGCTTCCCACCGAAGTATTTTTGACTTAGGGTCCTTCAAAGAGCGTACCAATATTTAAATGGTGGCAACGCACTCGCGAATCTTTTGTCATTGAGGGGCTCCATGGAAGGTAGGTATTTGGGAACCTATACGACTTAGGATCCTTCAAAGAGCGTAAAGATTCTAAAGAGGCCGACAACACATTTGAGAGCCTTCTGGATTAAGAGTAGTCATGGGCGTTATCGCTTAACATCTGATCCCCTGCTTTATAAAAAAAGGGTGACTATTCGTCTAAGAGGTTAATTAATACTATAAAATTCCCAACAGCATTTTTGGGTTTATTTTTAACCATTATTATGCGACTCTCATCCCTGAGGTCGTCGGTTCTATCCCCGGCTGCGTACCAATGGAAGTTCTTACGGATTTAACACTCGCTCGGACAACATAGTAAGGAAACCGACTTGCCTTAGACCCAACACGACGGCATGTGTCATGCCCAGGATAACTTGCCTATTAGATTGACAAATCATAAAACAGATACAGAAATCTGAGGCCCAGACCTAAAAAAGGTTGTAGCGTCACTGATTTATTTTATTATTATAAGAATCTTGGTATTTCCAATAATCTGACAGACATACGAATTAACTGGTTAAGTAAAATGGCAAGTGCCGTGGAAAGGTAGAGGTCGCGAGACTAATTGTAATAAAACATTTAAAGATATCAAAAACATATGACGTAATTGAATATAACATATGATTCGTAGATTAAATCGAAATTTATTATTTACGTCTTAATATACGCGGCAACAATCTACTTGACTATAGTTAAAACTATATTCAAATAAAGAACGCATAGGTCAATTTTAAAATTCGAACTTCATCCCTCCGCGCCCTTAAAAATACGCCGTGACAGAATCTCACGTCTACTTGACTACGGTTAAAACCTAATAAAACTAAATTTAATTTCAAATAAAGAACGCATAGGTCAAATTTAAAATTCGAACTTCCTTCCACCCTCCGCGCCCTTGAAAAAATGCGCCGCTTACTTTTTTCGCGCGCACCACGCCGGCCGCGTGTATAAATACGCACCGCAACACAACTAGGGCATACAGTAGCTCTCGAGCAGTCAACCGAAGTGCACGATGAGATTTCTGGTCAGTTCACAGTGGTTATTTAATATCTAGTGATATAGGTCGCTTACGTATTCACTGCAGCTATGTGAAAGTTAGCCTAGTAAAGCCATTTTATGCCCTGAGGTTTCACGTCCGGATTGTTCTATGTGTGCAATTAAAACTTGTTCATTGTGCGGCAAAAGGCTGATCACCTAATTGCCTAGGAATGACCAAGGCCCATAATTGTACCGCCTGGATCCCAGTGATGTGTTGTGTAACATTTGGAATTTTCTGTCCCCAGATTGCCGCCGCCGTCCTCGCCTGCGCCGCAGCCGCCCCCAGCGGTCTGTTGGCTTACTCCGGTCTCGCCGGGCCCTACGCCCACGGACCTTTGGCCCACGGACCTTTGGCCTACGGAGTGGCACCTTTGGCTCACGCCCCGGTAGCCCTAGCGCACGGCCCCGTCGCCGTAGCCCCGACCATCCCACCGGGCGACATCCAGGGCGCTGCCATCGACGCCCACGTCGAAGTTTCCGACCACGTCCGCGCCTCCTCTGACGCCGCCCGCGAATACCACGACCAGGCCTCCGAAGTTCATGGTCGCGCCATCAACGCCGCTGAAGACCACGCCTGGCAGGCGGTTGACGCTGCCCAGACCGCTCAAGCTCAGATCGACGGTGCCGCAGCCGGTGTCGCACCCAACGTAGCCCGTCAACTTGTCGGTCACTCCGCTCTTGTCCACGCCGCTCCATTGGTTCACTCCGCCCCCGTGGTCGCTGGACCCTTGGCTTACGGTCACGGTTACGCCGGCGCACAGTCCGTCGCCACTTCATCCCTCTCCCAAACCCACCCAGCTCCCTACGTACACGCTCCCGTGTACTCCCAGGGAATCCACGGACTCGCGCACGCATGGTAACCTGTGATAACCTTCTAGCCAAAAAAATACTCACTTCAGATATTTATGTAAATTTTGTACAAACAGGCGAGGATGTGTGAATAAATGTAATAGTGTATTTGATTGTATTATTGCCAAATCTCACAACTTCCCAGGCCCTAAGTATTCTATAATTTGGAGAGCGCATATACCACATAACAAATAAAATAATATTACTTGATTAGATTTCTAAAGGCGCCTTTATAGTTAGAGAATATAGACCATAAGTTTATACAACATTTATAAATAACTTTTAACTGTCATGACATATTAATTAATATCACACTTGCTTGCGTTTTTATATGGCTGATTAGCAGGATTTTAATCAATCGAAATGTACCACTTTCTTTGGTACGATTATTATTATGATCGTAATTCAATTTTATTGAATGAACTTTATACTAAGTCTTTTGTGTCTTTTTGTGTCTTTGTGTCATGCTACTTGCCTTTTACAAAACAAATACAGAAATCTAAGTCAAACGCCACTGCTTAAAGTCACTAGGGAGTGCCAATAAATAAGTTACATTATTATATAAAAGATATTCTTTGACAAAAATTAAACATACAGTTTAAAACAGAGGTTAAAATTCAAACAAAGAAAATATTTAACTAGTTCATAAATCAGGCGAATTTTTTGAATTTTAATCTTTATCATCTAGCAAGATGCACGTACTTTAAGGCCAACAATATGGAGAAGACCAAGAGGATGGCGGCCTAGGCAAAGATAGATTTAAAAGTGTTAGCAGAAAGCGAATGGAGAAAAAAATGTATAGAGAATATTGTAATTCAAAAATACAATCTTTTTTATTCAATAACAAGTTACATTTTTAGCAGATATTGGAGCCACTGAACTAAGTCTACGGAGACCTGTACATCAGGGTACTCGGTTCTTCCAATGGTACAACGAAATAGTAACTTAATAGTACGTAGTTACAATAATTGAAACCAAAATACTATATTATAAAGAAAAACAGAAATCTAAGGGTCACAATGTATGGATAAAGTACCAAATAGCTATGCAACACATAAATTATTTGGAAGATAAATTGTGCTATTTGACACTTCATCGGACTCAACTTATGATGGACTTTATGTGACGAATGACGCTTTCTGACAGTCGTGAAACGCAACAATAGTGTTTATCCTAACAATCTATACTAATATTATAAAGAGGAAAGATTTGATTTTTTGTTTATTTGAAATGAATAGGCTCCGAAACTACTAGACCGATTTCAAAAATTCTTTCACCGTTGGCAAGCTACACCAATTCCGAGTGACATAGGCTGTTTCTTTTTAAAAAGGGATTCTTACTAAAACTTGAAGAATCTAACCCAAGGTGTGAAAAAATAAACAAAAAACTTCCTTCAATCGCGTGCGCTGCGAAAACTATTAATGATAGAACAAAAATATGTATTTCAATTTTTCAGGACACCTCACTATCTATGAAAAATGTCGCGACATCATGTCTCTATCTTTTATAGTTACGTCACAATAAGCGTCCTTTGATTAATTTTTTTTTATTAAAATACCGCCGCTAGAAAAGGCTCTTTATTCGTACCGTATATAAGTTTCACATAAGCTACAATTTAATGGCATAACCACCAAAAAAACATGGTGGATTGGTGTTCTCCTGCCGTTTCTCTTGAATAGTTTACTATGTAATATAACAAAAATCTTAGCCACAGCAACGCTTGGCCGAGTCTACTAGTAAGTAATAAATTGCTAATTTGGAATTTATCTAGAACTTATCCGTACATTGTGAAACAGACTGAGATTACTAAACTACAGCATACAGTTTGACATGGTTGAGATTTACAGGTTTACATTTGTAAATAGTTAGAGGAGGGCTTAACCGGGACCACACCAATACTGGATGACAAATTAAAATTGAACCAGAATTGTTAATTGCTATGATTGGAAATAAACGGGTATTATTATAACTATTAATTTATTTATATAATAACTGCTATCCGTAGTTATCTTGTACAGTTAATATACGTAACTAGAACACCGTTACAGTACATTATTTTGAAAGGTCAAGAATGACCTTTAATTCTAGAGGTTCATACAATTATACTTTCATTATAGAGCGACGGAAACTGCGTCCTTACTCTGTTACTTCAAAGTAATTTTATTTAACCTTTTAGGTCTCTATGTTCTCGCTACAACCTTTATAATAAAATAAAAAATCTTTATTATGGAACATAAGATACAGGTATCACTTATTCACGTCATTAAATTTGATTCGGTAGACATCCCTACTCATCGGCAAAGAAGACAGAGGGTGTAGGCCGAGATAAAAAGCCGGCGTAAAAAGCTTTCGGTACTCTTTTAAAATAGCAAATCATCAAACAACACTTATTTAAAACAAATATCGCAAATTAATTAGAAGTAGCCTGTCTAGCACTAGTCCCAGGCCCTTTTATCAACTAGATAATCGTTGACTTTATAGTAAGCCTTTTTACACAGCTTTTCTTTAATACATTTCTTAAATTTATTAAAAGACAGAGATAAAACAGCATCTGTGATTTTTTTAAAGAAAAGCATCCCTTTTCCCAAAAAATAATTACAAACTTTTAAAAGTCTAGTACGGGGAAAAGTCACGGTAGCCATTAAAATTAAAGTCTGGGTCCTATGTATCATGAGGCAAGTAGGTGATCAGCCTTTGCCTTTAATCAGGAATATCGGTTTCCGGGTTTCGAATCCACCTCACCATTTGAAGTCACTAGACCACTGCTCCATTCTAATAGCAATTGCAAAACTGTTTAATGTCAGACTGACATTTATAATCTGACCATTAAGCGGAAGTTGTATTACCTTGAACGATGCAAAAAGCTCGACAAAAAATGATTCGATTACATACGTTCCATTGTTTGCTCAAGCGACTTTAAATCCTTCTGAACTTGTAGTAGACTAGTATGTCGAGGGGGGGAGGGGGCAATAGAAACGGTGGGGCTAAGACTGCTCTGCATTGTCTTCTCCAAAAAAAGGGTGCGTGTACTTATGTACGCGCGTAAGAAGTTATACTTCTTTGGCATTATTAAAAATAGTTTTTGATTGCATGCAAATAATTAATTACAATTAAATAATCAAAGACTGGAAAAGGAGTCATTAAAGTCAATAAAGTTCAGTTTACTTTTGAAAAATTAATTAAATAAATATTTATTATTATTCTCTTACATTAAACAAATAAAACACTATTTATCTTTAAAACATTTTTATTTCATTATACTATTTATTTTTAAGTGACTCTAATGTCTTCATCAGAATTTCGGTTTGTAATTTTAAATTAATCATTACTTGGTTGTGCATCTACGAGGCTTCTCCAAAACTACTTGCTTTCTGCAACAAATAAGAGAATATTAATTTAAGCTCTGTCCATGCAAAACTTAAAATTTTTTATAATTCATTTTATAAATTTTTTAACACATTTATATGTATTAATATAATTATATAAATGTGTTAATAATATAATTTGTAGCACATGCTACAGACCTGGATAGCAACTTTCTTTTATTCTATTTAGAGATAGAGATAATTTAAATATAATACCGGTGTCTTCCTTGTAGGTTTCTTTGGAGTTGTTTGGGGATTCTTGTTGTTCAGTTCGACATGATTTTCTTTAACCTTTCTTTAATCCTACAAAATAATGAAATTGTTAAGTTATGTTGTCACTGTTGTGCACACCTTTGTTTGGCTTTTTTTAGTATTCAAGTTATGTCAAAACTGATTTATTACCTTGTCATTGTTGGCTTTATTTGCTTTTGGGATATCAATTGTTTCCAAAATGATTTTATTTGTAATAACCTGAAATATATAAATAACATCTATTAATTTAAGTATCATGGTGAGTGGTTCGCACTCAGGTATTAAGGTGTATTATACCCACTGTCCATTATAAGTGGGAATGGGCTCACTTCTGGCAGGACAGAGTTTCGGTACTACAAGTGCAACATGGATGTTTTGAGGTATTACAATATCTCTAACTACCCTGTAGGGGAATAAAGTAATGTTGTAAGCATATGCCTATGCTTGAAAGGTTGAACCTTGAACATCACCATACATCATATTTATAATTAACATTCCTACCTCGACACCATCACAATCAAATTCATTGAAATCTACTTCAAACCATTGTGTCTCGAGAAGGTGATGGTGGCTTTGTTCCACCTCCAGTTTTTGATGTTTCACGGCGATAAGATGACAACTCTTTTTTTTGTATTCAATTTAGTGCACTTCCACTGATTCATCAATTGTTTTTTGTCTCTTGTCCTTATATTTGCTAGATTAAATCTGATGTTTTGATTAAATAATGTGGTCATTTTTTTGAGATGCAGGTACTTATTAAAATGTTTACTTCTCTGTTATATCGCTCCAAGCCTTCATTTTCTCCTTATTAGTATTCGTGCTTAAATCTTTGTTCTCAATTATTGATATATAGGGTCGTAGAATATTTCTAAAAAGTTTCTAAAAAGTTGCTGTAACAAACGCAATAAACAAAAGCAATGAATAATGGTTCATGTTTCAGTTTTAATCAACAATAATACTCGATAATACATACGGATAGTTAACCTCAATTGTATTGAAGCACTCAGGAAGGTTAGCACAGTTTTTTCACAAATATTTTATATTATTTCACAAATATTTTGTATAATGAAAATAACTAGGTATATAATTATTAATTTTAAACAATAATTAAAACTCCTATATTTGTTTAAAAGGTAAATGTCATTGTCAGATGTCAATTGTCATGGTCATTCAAAATTCTTGTTAAGCTGCTAAGCTAGAATATGCGTGAAGTTAGCTTCACGCATATTCTATTTCTTTTTACTTGTAGTTTGTCTTATTCCCATCTCGCTCGCGCACGCTATATCACACTGCCAATTTTGTGTCATAGGTGCGCGCGCAATCGTAAAATTTCACTCTCATCAATTTTTCATAACGCGCCTAAAGAAGTACAACTTCAAAAATAGTCGGCAGTG